TGATTTGTCATCACGGAACCATCGTGGTAATTTAAACCCAACATCTGCTTTATCAGAAACATCTTGTTGTTTCCAGTTTTCCGAGCATACAAACTTTCAAGGTGCTCCCATAGGGTCCGAGCATGTGTCTCCCCAGAAATATGATTCAAAACATTATCATCAATCCACTGTCTAATAAAGCCGCAGACTTTCCTGTGTAACAAACTCCACTCTTCATCTGATTTATTATCAGGCTTTATAGTGGTGAAGGCAGGTTGATGAAAATTCTTGACATAGAGCAAATCTTTCATTTTGCCCTTCCAGATGGCATAATTTGTGCCATTCAAAGTAATCATTCTACTAGTGCTGGCTTTCATAGTTTATCACAAATATAAATACTATTTATTAGAAGACCAAAATAATTCTTTTCTGATGTGGAAGTTCATATTGTGCTGCAACCACAGAGCATACTCAGACAGAACGTTGGCTCTGATACCACTTGCTGGGAATAAACCCCGTAAAATAATATTCACGGTATTAGTGATAAACGCAGAACACTAAGTTATGGTTAAATCAGCAAGAATAGAAATACAGCAATAATGACACCATGATTTTACGTGGAAACCCTTCTGAATAAGGGAAAAACCACGGCCAAGAAGAGCAACTGATATCACTATAGCGAGGAATTTTACATTGTGTAGTAACGAGTAAAAATACTCCTAATACCACTACACTCTCAAAAGAAATAAACACTCTTTTGCTTTTTCTCCCTCACTACAATATCTCTCACACTCTATTTTTCTTCACAAACTATTTTCTTATAGTTTATGGATTACATTGCTCTCTTTCTTTTCTCTCTTTGTTGGTGTGATGAAATGAGGGTTGAAGCTCTCCTTTTATAGCTAAAAAACTCATTCTCTAAAGCCTACAATATTTGATAATTTGCACTTACTTTTCACAATTTTGAACAAGGTTGGCTACCAAACCAAACCAAGTCAATAAAATTGGCTACCAAACCATACAAATTTAACAAGGTTGGCTACCAAACCAATACCAATTCAACAAGGTTGGCTACCAAACCAAACCAAGTCAATAAAATTGGCTACCAAACCATACAAATTTAACAAGGTTGGCTACCAAACCAATACCAATTCAACAAGGTTGGCTACCAAACCATTTGAATGAGATAGACACCATCATATTCATGTTATTGATTTATCCTTTATGATGTTTATGCACATATACTAAAAGAAGCAATTGGAAACAACATAAACTCGGAGGCCACACGTCTGTTCATTTTTATTACTCAAAAATTACAGGAGTCCACAGTCTGTTTTAGCCCTTAAGATCATAGGTGGATTTAGAGCGAATTCAACTTAATCTATAGCTTTCAATTCAACTTAATCTATAGCTTTCAATTCAACTTCGACTCGAAGCAAGTATATTTAAAATCACGTCCATTCTGAATCAACTGATTTTAAATTCTGGATTCACTTCTATTTGAGATGAGACAAAATCTTTGTTTCCCTTGCTAATTACAATCTCTAGCGGGCGCGACTCTTTAGTTTTGATCATCTGATGTGCTATCATCTTCATCTTTTGATATGATCATATTGTAGAGCTCAACATGGCTATGTTGCATAAGACTTTTCTCTGTCGAAAAAAGAAATTTTATATCATCTTCATATACATTATTCAGATTATGACAAAATTCTTGAAAGATATAATTTGGATCTTCAAAACATTAGGCTTGATTCTTGAGCATCAAAAGCTAAAACACCCACTTAAGTAAGACTATTTAGAATATACCGGACATACTTAGCTTTAGCTGATTTCAACAGTTAAAATTCTACAGGAGCTTGACAAGAAACAAATCATTATGTTTTCTCAGTAAAATTCTTTTAGCTATCAGTAAAATATGATAATTGACTTTAAATTGTAATTATGAATTAACATTTTTAGACAATTGATAATTCTATCTTTCATAAAGATTCTGAAAGTTTTTTGTTCCTTTTATTTTCGCTGTAGGTGGTAATATATTAGCCTATAGAAAGGATATTAATTCATCCAAAGTATTATTACCAATTTCAACTATCAAAAACAGATAAACGCCATATTAATACAAACTTAGAGGAAATACAATTTGAAATGCATGTATAAAAGAGTAATACAGTCAAACATCTCTATAATTGCGTCGTTTGTTCATAATATTTTTGAATGTTATAGCGAATTGTTGTTATAGAAAACATATATTATAACAGAGCATAAAATTTGGTTCCGAAAAAATTTGACTTTTATAGTAAAGTGTTGTTATATAAGGATATTGTTATAGAGATGTCTAGTACTATTATTCTTTTATAATAAATTACTGCTAATTTCTGGCGAAGTACATTTTCTAGCAATTAGCAGAGCGTTTGTTCAGCAGTCCCATACCGCTAAACAAACCAAGAAACAGGGAAGCTACAGCATTATAAAAGGCCAAACGGGCAGCTATTCAAAGCATACCTTTCTCGGCCTTTTGGCTAAGATCAAGTGTAGTATCTGTTCTTATCAGTTTAATATCTGATATGTGGGTCATCGGCCCACACGATATTAACTCAATTTTTTAAGGGGAAGAGTCCATTGAAGTAGCTTGCTACTTGGGCTCTTGCGCGTCGCCCATGCGTTGCACTATTGCACGGGCCTGGCGCACCCCACCAAAGTAGTCCAAATTTGATTGATTCCGTGGCCCAAAGTGGCCCAATTGTATATTGACTATATTAACTTGGGGAGAATTTACTTTCAAAGTACGTTAGTTAATTCTTAAGTGCCAATTTCTATTGTTGATAAATTTCTTTCAAAGTATGTTAGCATGTGCAAAGACATGGTCAGTGCTAAGTAAGACCATAAGTCACAAGACACTTTAATCTGTAATGAATTTCTTTCATTGTGATTTTTCAGTTATTGGTTAATCTTTCTTCCTGTATGATAAAAAGTGAAGCACGAGTATTCTACCCCATAGTAATATGTATGAGAATGACTTGATTAGCTATAAGCAAATGTAATTATGGTCTACAAAATAGGAGCTTTATTTTAATAAATCAAAGAGCAAGGACGACAACAATTTAGTCAGTTTGATTCTCCTTCCCAATCCGTAGCATGATAGCACAGAACCATACCGAAGAAAGTGATTGCTAATGAAGTGATCGAAACTTTTTATTACTTGCTTTGGATTAAGATACATATCTCCTATAATTCCAAAATTAGTTGTATTCTGACTTAATTCATAGTACACAATAAAATAACAATTCACAAGCTTGGCGATGAAAATTGGGTATTAGGCATACGGCTGGTCTTTGTGGACTTGGAATTTGTGTTTGGCTTTCTGTCTTACAACCATAAAATATTGTAACCATCATTTTTATTTATTCATGTATTTATGTGCTGCACGAATAAAATCTATCATATATTTAGAAATAGGGAGTTAGTTTTGAATCCCTATTTTTAAATCATAAATTGATTTTAGATTAAAGTTAGTTACTTAGTTTAGCAAATGTTTAAAATTTTACTAATCTACGTCCCCCTTCTTTCCAAATTCTTATTCAAGAAGATCAATCCATTCATTCTTTTATGACTAACCAATCACGAAAACACCTTTTAAGTAATTTTGAAAAGGATATTGTTACCTCTAACAGAATGAGGAATACCCTTGGACCTACTGATATCTTCCTTCAATCCTCCACCAACACTCGGCGTTCTAGTGTAAATATAAATAATACTCCTATATAGGATTTTTCATTTCAAATTTCTATAAGTCTCGCTCTATGTTTGGATAAAAGAGGGATACGGATGATATACGTATAATAAAGTATTCTGAAAATCGTGTGATCTTTAACATGACATGTAATTTTTATAAAAGAATCATTAACAACAATATAAGGATGACAAAATTAAAGATTTTTTATTATAAAAAATGTATAATATTTTTCAACAAACCCAAAAAATGGTGTTTTATATGAAATAAATGAAATGAAAAACAATAATTCGACAGCATTTGAAAGTAAAAACACAAGACATAACTTTTAGACGTATATATTTGAAAATAAAAAATAAGATACATTCGCGTTATTATTTTCTTTTATACAAATTGTGGAAGATAGCTCTAACTAATTTGAATTGATAATTATTTAATTTTGTGGTTTGATGCTCACATTTAAAATTGACTAGCTGGACCAATTAAAATTCCCAGCAAGTAAAAGATTAGGAGTAAATATCTTATTACGACTAGGGGTGTTCATGGTTCTGTTTGGATCGGTTTTTTTCCCTAAAAAGAAACCAAACCAAAGTCAGTTTTTCAAATATTAGAACCAAACCAAACTAATTAAGTTAATTTTTTCTCGATTCGGTTTATGTCGGTTTTTCAGTTTTTTCGGTTATTTGTCGGTTTTTTCTTAAATATAAGACATACACTACCAAACACATATTTCGGCGACCACATTTTTAACGTAACACTATCAAATCAATTGTCCTTTGAGAAATCTATTATTTACCAAGATAAATTGATGATAATTTAATCAAATAGTGATGAGTAATTTAAGAACTCAATTAAAAATATATTATTTTTAATATGAATAGATTCTTACACTTAACAAACGAAAACTACCAATCAAACTAGAATATAAATGTAAAAAACTGTACTAAAAGTGCAAACAATTAACATTTACTATAAATTTTTTGAAACTTTGTATAAAAGTATATATATATATATATATATATATATATATATAGGTGTAATAATGAATTTAAAATAACTACTCTTATATTCGGTTTGGTTCGATTTTTTTTTATTAAAACCAGAACCAAACCAAATTTGATGGATTTTTAAATTTCAAAACCAAAATCAAACCAAACCAAAAAGTATTAATTTTTTTGGTCGATTTGATTTGATTTTCGGTTTGGTTCGGTTTTATGGATTTTTTGAACACCCCTAATTACGACACAAGTAACGAAGGTTAAAGGTTCTCCATTTATGATTGATTGTACAGGTCTGTGCCACTATTTTCATGTGTGTATAGCACCTCAGCACGTTCCTTGGTTTTTCTTTTTCTTCTTCTGTATTTTTCTTGTTTGTTTATAGCATCATCAGTTTTGACTTCTTTGAGGCCAAACAATTCTAAAGGACAGAAGTAGGGGGTTGGTTACCTGGGAAAGGTGAAATGACGAGGTTGCCACTTGGGTCGTCGCCGATTGACATCGCCGGTCCGACGACCAACTGGTGGGACCAGATCAATGAGTCCGTTCAGTGGCAAGATGGGATTTTTTACTCTCTTTGTGCTTCCTATGCTCTTGTCTCAGCCGTTGCCCTTGTAATTTTGTCTCCTTCTGCTCTTTTGTTTATATGAATAGACACTTTGATTTTGTTTTTTGTATGTTAATTTGATGTTGGGGTGTGTCAGGATTGTATTTTGTATGTTAATTTGATGTGGGTTTGTGTCAAGATTGGTTTTTTATGTTCCTTTTTTTGTTTCTGATGTTATACAGTTAAAACTTGCTGCAAGTTGGGATTAGGTAACTGCTGTTAGAAATGGAAAATCTTGGGAAACTGTAGGAATGAAATAATGGAGTTTAGCTTTTACTTTTTTCTTATTTTTCTCCCTCTCTCTCTACTCTTTTATTTGTATAAATTGACACTTGGATTTTGTATGTAAATTGATGTGGGGTTATGTCAAGGTTTTTTTTTTTCTCTTGTTTATGAATTTGACAATCCAATTAGATTTTTTTTTCTAGTACTTGCTGCAAGTTGGGATTTTTCATAGCTACTGTTAGAAATGAAATTTTTTCGGGAAACTGTATGAATGAAATAGTGCAGTGTAGCTTTTACTTTTTCTTTTGGATGTTACAAAAATATGATTCAAGGATGTGTGTTTATGAAGTGTATTCGAGGGGGTCTTCCATTAAGAGAATTACGGAATATTTGGTGCTTTTATTATGTGGCTAAAGATTTTTAGCAGTGGACTGACTGGTTAATCTTAGTTCATGTAGGTTCAGTTAGACTGTTAGCTTAAGACTATTGACTAGCTATATTTAGGGTCAAATTCAATACTTTTCTTTTTGTACTGTCCTTTATTTTCTCTGGATTCTGCACAGCCTTAAGATGTTAATGGCAATTTTGGTCTCTGTTAGCTAGAGGGGCGTATTCATTGCCCAAGTTAGGGTGCACGTGAACCCATGGTCTTTCCGCCAAACTTGGTATTTTATGTACCTATTTCCTAGAATTGATCTAAAATTATCTACCATCTCCTCTGTGCTCCAATAAGGCTGAATGTTGCACTTGGTTGAATGCTGAGTTATTACCTGAAGGGACAAGGATTGATTCCCACTTAATACTTTCTTTTTTCTCTTTTCTTTTCTTTAGTGATGCACCCATGTTCTAGAAATCCTAGATCCCGTCTGGTTAGCTATGTGAGATTTCCAAATTATTTCTTCACCAATTATCACCTAGATGATCTTCATTTATCTGATATGACTGTATCCTCAAAGCTTTGATCTTTCATCTAATGTCTGATGTGAGTATTACGTAGTACTCGTTTCGTGTGGGCTTAAGTACTTTTCTATAAGCAGATGACTTTCATGGAAGGATGGTTTTTCATACTTTTGATTGATAAATATGTTTCAGATAAAGTATATACCTAATGCTGCATGTGTAAAATACGTATTTTTCCTGTGATGCTTAGTTGTTTGGGCTTTGGGTTGAGTGTATGAGTTGATTATGTGCAGATTCAATTAATAAGGATCGAATTGAGGGTACCCGAGTATGGTTGGACAACACAAAAGGTTTTCCATCTGATGAACTTTGTTGTAAATGGAGGTACGGATTCAGGTCAAGCAAATCGTCCTGCCCCTGTTTATCTGGAAATTAGTTTTGAATGCAAATCTTTTTTCTTTCAGTTCGTGCAATTGTCTTTGGATTTCACAAACAAGTGTTTCTCTTCCATCCTAAGGTATGTTATTTTTTTCCTGAAAGTAACTTTTTAATTGTCGATCACTTTCCTGGTTATGTTCAGTTTGTTTTCAATAGAACCCGACAATGCATGCCAACTTGAATGTTACCTTGTTCTTATCCTCAGTTTACCCTTTTCTCGAACTATTTATTATTTTCTTTATAGTGTTTCAACTAATCTAGGATCTATCTGAAATCAGAATTAATTTAAAGCTGTACCTCTAAAAATTTTAACCTGATGGGACCATTTTCAAGTGGAAGTGCATGACTTTTTTGTTGCTACTTCGAGCTGCAGGCTATCTTATATCTTTGACTCTCTTAACTTTGAGCATAGTTTGACATTTGAGATTCCTTACCTCTTAATTTATTCATTTGGAAGTTCATCCTGCTCTTTGGCTGCTTATATAGTCTAACAGCACTAGAACAGTATAGCAATAATGTCTGACCTTTTTGTTTAATATGTGAGCTAATTTGATTGAAAGCTCACTAGATTCTTTCTGTCTTTCATTTTTCAGTGTGAAGCTTATCACATAATTACCTCATCTTTTACTTGTTGTAAACTTTTGGTTTGACTGCGATAGCATTTGTTCAAGTGCTTAGATTTTTACTTTCTCTGCAGCACTGTACTTTTGCCATGTCGAACATTTAGCTTTGACTATCATTTTATTTTGATGAATTTTCTGTTAACGATAAATTAATCATCTGGTAGCACTTCCAGAATTACAACTTGTATGATCTCTTTCCTTCGTTTGGATGTGGTGGGCTACTGCAGTACTGTCACTTTTAGGCTGATGGCCTGAGAAAAAGAAATAGATAACATACAACATCTGCCTCTTAAGCTGCTGCTTAATTGTTTATTGATGTTACATTTGCTCCGCGTTACACCAGGTGCTGAGTCTGGCAATATTGGACCTACCAGGGCTCCTTTTCTTTTCAACATTTACTCTCCTGGTTCTATTTTGGGCTGAGATATATCACCAGGCAAGTGAAGTTGTAGCATCCTGCATGCAAACTGTTGATTTATTAATTCTAACTCTTGCATTTATGTAATGGCAGGCTAGGAGTTTACCAACAGATAAACTCAGAATTTCTTATATTTCAATAAATGGTGCGATATACTTCATTCAGGTTTGCTACAAACTTGTCCCCTTTTCATATGCTTTTGAACATCATGATTGTTCATAAGGAAATATAGTCGATCAAGTGTTATTGTTTATGGAGTACTAGTTTTGTTTGTGTGTTAGTAATATGTGAATTCTTTTAAGATTCTTTCAAACGAGTTAGTTTGTGTCCTAGTTGATAACTCCTTGCATTTAGGTGGTCTCACAAAATATGCGGCCATATATATGCTACTTAATATGTTGAATTCTGAGATATTCTTCTGTCCCTAAAAATGTTATACCTTGTTCACCTAGGTTTAACATGTTTGGAGAATAGTTTCATTTCAGAGACAAGTGCCTCTCCTCTTGGCCCTCCATTCCCTTCTAACTGGTCCTACTTTCATTATCAAATATTTATGGTTTGGCCCTGATTGTACCTTTACTTTTCTTTAAAGCAGTTGGATATATATCTTTCCAAGATCTTGCAATAAATATTTAAAAAACCATTTGCAAAGTTAGCCTTGAAATAGGGCTAGATACTCCTAATTCCAGTCTCTGAGGACTCTAGCTTTCTCCCTTTTCCTAAAGAATGGGATCCACTTCTAAATGAATAAAGCTGTCTGTTATTCTTGATTTCTTGGAAAAATATTCCCGACAGACCACTTGTCTCAAAAGCTAACTAGCTGCTTGAGTCTTTTAGATTTATCTCAGGTAATAAACTAAATACAACTGAAAAATGGTTTTGGTCAGGCATGTATCTGGGTTTACCTCTGGTCCAATGACAATAGCACTGTGGAATTCATTGGGAAGATATTTATAGCAGGTGAATCTCTTTCTATTCATTTTCTCCTTTTGCCCTATTTTACTGAAGGTTTGATCTCTTTAACGTTGCATGTTTCTTTGGTGCAGTTGTATCATTTATTGCAGCATTGGGCTTTCTGCTCTATGGTGGAAGGTGCATTTAAGTGCTATTTCTTTGTGCATTTATCTTCTAATTCACTGTTCTTAACTACCTTAGACAATTGTTCATTGGGAATTCGTATTTACAAGTTTTTACAATCATCAGGTTGTTTCTCATGCTGCGCCGCTTTCCTATTGAATCTAAAGGGAGGAGAAAGAAGCTTCATGAGGTTTGTGTATTTACACACTTATCTTTTTACTTTGTAAATACAAAGACCTTGTTTAGTGTTTTTGGTTTGGCATAGAACATATTTGCATGTAAGTCATAAGATTTATTCCTCACTACGTTCTCCTCCCTATGGCACCTGGGGGGGAAAAATTCTTAGACTTGATGTCTGATTCCGTTCATCAATTTCCTTGCCCTGGGATCGTTCTGCTATATTATACTGTTAGCTTGCAGTGACTGACTGATATATTTAGCCCAGATAATATTCAAATGGACAGATAGAGTAAGACTATTCCTGAGATTGTGTCTATATTCAAATCAAATTCTAAAATGGTAAAAAACAAGGATAGGACGGAACCTTGTCGTGACAGTTTTAATCAGGGCTACTATCCAAAACCAGCCACTTTGGAACTAGCTCTCGTCCTCCAAGTCATCTTCCATGTCCTTTGAGCCAATAGACCAGAATTCATCCTTAACAACAAACATAGCACGCTTTAACTAAGGATTTTCCTGTCATCATTGACATACAAAGGAGGGAGTCAGGCTAATGATCCCCTAGTATCACTCGGGCTAATTTAGCTATTACCACACTAGCACTCTGTGCTGAGTATTGATAATTTATTCAAGGTTGAAGACTCCAGCATTCTCTTTTGAAGCGTTCTGCAATAGTACCCCGAACACTCTTTGTTAAAGACAAGATTATATAAATCTGGGAATTGTTCTTTCAGAGTGCTGGTTTCCAAAAGTTTGTTTTTCCATAGTCTTGCTCTTCCGTCGTTACCCACTTTGACCCTACCACCTCTTCAAACTCTCTCCAAGAATTTCCTATTTGTCTCCCTACCGTAAACTCCATAAAAAGATGTGACTGCTGCTTTAGTGCATCATTGTCCATCAATTCCATATTATGCGTTGATCTCCCCTTCCACATCTCCAATTTGTTGGTATTAAATCTCCATAACCATTAGACATAAGACACTTACTAATAGTCTAAAGCTTTCCACACCTAGTCCCCTATTGTTTGCTCATAGTTGATCATCTAACAGATGCATCCTCTTTGTCTCTCAATTAAATCCCCATAAAAAGTTACTTCTCAACTTATTCATTTGTTTTTCAACTTTAGCAGGAATTAGACTTGTGATATTAGAGTTGTAAGGATCCATGTTGTACCCTATTTTTCAGTTCATCCTTTACCCATATGAGAGATATCGCTTCTTTCAAGGGGCTGATTTCCTTTCACATCTTTCAATAACTTCTCACTGTGCCTCAGTAGAGGCAATGTTGGGTGATTGCTTCTTATCCCCGTACCTTTACCGGTGGGAGGATATAGTTGCCCGATAGAATAGTCGAGGTGTATGCAAGCTGGAGACACCTCTTTTATCCACACACAAAAAAAGATTTACTTCCCCATCACACCCCTGAATCCTTGTATTCAGCTCCTAGTCATTGCCCCAAATAAACTTGTAGGGAAGTACTCCGCTTCACACTCTCAAAATACTTGCTAGATTATCGACTTCATAATCAGCATTAACTGAAAACAAACTACTCTTGGCCGAGTTCCTTTTCTCCTCTGCTGATGAATAATCAACCGGCAGAAGTATATCTAAGTTTGGTGCGATAAAATGGAAACACAATTTTAATTTATGATTTTTACGAAGAGATAAATTTTTTGTCATTATTGGTGAACCAACGGAGTGTCTATTTTCTTTTCTTAATTGATAATTAGTGGCCAATCTCCAGAAAACATTTTCATGATCTATCTGCTTGTTCTAACAACCTCTTCTACGTCACCATTAAAGATTGTGATGTGGATATGTTTGTGTTATCTGAAGTTTCATTTAGCTCAATGTTGCTCAGACAAGGTGGGTTGCTCTGATGGTAAGCACCCTCCACTTCCAACCAAGAGGTTGTGAGTTCGAGTCACCCCAAGAGCAAGGTGGGGTGTTCTTGGAGGGAAGGATGCCGAGGGTCATTTGGAAACAGCCTCTCTACCCCAGGGTAGGGGTAAGGTCTGCGTACACACTACCCTCCCCAGACCCCACTAGTGGGATTATACTAGGTTGTTGTTGTTGTTGTTGTTTTGCTTAGCACATGCATAACATGATAGATAATGCATGACTTGTAGTTTTTAACATCTCTTACTCTAAATTGGTTCACATAATATGATGTATGCATATGATTGCAGGTTGGATCTGTGACTGCCATATGTTTCACTTGTTTCCTCATTAGCTGCTTTGTGGTAAGGCTTTATGCATATGTTTCCTCTCCTCTCAATGCTGGTCAACATTTTATTTTCTTTATTTTTTTTCCATGGTCAACATTATATTGTCCATAGTATAATATCGTCGTAGCTCCATTATAAAGTTTTGCAATTGGGTAAATAAAATGAGTTACTCTTAACTTCCCATGGGGAGGTCCAAACAGGGAAACGAGTTGGTGCTTTTGCTTGTAAGAGTGAAAACATTGAGGCTATTTTATGAGATAAAAGGCTGTGACATATGCCTTCAGGCTTCAGCCGAAAATGACCCAAACTACACCCCGGGTATAATAGGAACATGATCAAGAAAAGGGAATGAAGGTATATCAGGTTTAAAGTAAATTTTGCTATGAACTTGAGAGCCAGCCCTGCCTCAAATCTCTAGACAACAATTACTTTCGTGTGCATGAGCGTCTTTGCTATGTCTAATTTGTGGTTCACTGCAGGTTGTGTTATCTGCTTTTGATCCTGACGCATCTCTTGATGTCTTGGACCATCCTGTTCTGAATCTGATATACTACCTGGTATGCCTTATTCCGTTATTCCATGCTCCTTACGCTTGCCTTCTCTCTCTCTCTCTCTCTCTCTCTCTGATCACATTCTTCTTGGTGGGCAGCTGGTAGAAATTCTTCCTTCAGCACTTGTGCTATACATCCTGCGAAAATTGCCTCCAAAAAGAGTATCTGCACAATACCACCCAATCAGTTAGCTGCAGCAGACTTTTATCGTCAGTCCTACACTTTCATATGGTTGCAGGTGCAGAAGCTAAGTGGAGTTCTGCAGGAAAAGTGGAGCTGCGAAAAGGATCCAGGTGCATTAATTTTGTAGAAAGGCCAATGATATCAACTCTTTCCCCAGTTGTTGAACAAAGCTTAAGCTGTTTTACCTACATTGTATTGTTTCTGTGGTTGTGGCGTGAAGCATCAGACGAATCGTTAACATTTTGGTTATTAATTGTTCTACAAGTTTGTGAAAAGTATCGAAGTCCTGAAGTAATGATGCAACAGGGTTGCCTCAATGTCATCTTTTGTACTGTTTCATTCTAACTGTGATGTTCTGTATTTGAGCATTTCCTATACTGTAAGATCGCACGGATGTAACTTTCACCATTTGAATAATGGCAATGCCCTGAGTAGTGACTATTTACCTACTAGGCTAGAGCACTTTTTTTTTGTTTTTTCTTTTTCTTTTTTCCCTTCTATCTTTTCTAAATCCTGGAGAGCCAGTGTGCCTTGAAATTCGATGACTAAAACGTGTGCTCCTCTCCTCGTTTTCGCTTAAATATGATGCTTTTATATGCGGCAGAGTCCATACTTGTAACTTACGTTTAACAAAGTTCGAATCATACGCTTCAATCTAACCACTAGATCAAAGGCCTGGGTAGTCAGTTGTTTCTAATTTATAGCGTCAACAATTACACAGTTTTGGTTTTTTTCTAATACGGCAAATTGATAAATTTTTGGTTTTCCGCTTGTCGATGGATAAACTACTCCCAAACTGAAAAAAAAAAAAAAAACTGGGTTAAAACTTAATAACGCAGCCCTCTAACACCAAAAATCAACAATTGGCCGGCAGGAAAAGTAACACCAAACAATCGATTGGTAAGACCAAGAGAGAGGAAAACGAACGCTCCATTCATGTATACACTAATGAATTAATTTCTGTTAGAAAAGTCATTTTTCCCTACCAGCCCGCAATTCTCCAATCCAGGTCTAAATTACAAAAAGCATCTTCAAACCCAATTTGCAAAGTGTAAACAACACACCAACAATTTGACAAGGAATGAAGACAGGTAACCAGCACAATCATCATCGACAATACCAACTATAACCTTGATTCCCTCCAACCAAATATCTAGGGTCAATTTACAGAAACTGAAGCCAGTGCCTCTGGGTCTACTTATATAATGAGCTCATCGAATTTGTGGAACTTCATCGACAGGAGGAGCAGCAAAGCGCACATTAGCTGGCCGAGCCACCACTACCGGCTCGTCAGCAAACATTGCTTTGATAAATGCTGGTGTTTTCAGGGGTCTACGACCAGTCATTCGTGGATAGACGTCTTCCAGGAAATAATAAGCATGGCCTGCAATCATTCCCTGAAACAAGAATGTTCACTTTCAGTATAGCACAAAATTGCATGTGTCATAGACAGTAAATGGAAGGAAATAGGAATATTCAAAGTCCTCTAAAGGAGTTTTAAAGACCAAGGTACAAGTAACAGAGTACTGGCATAAAAACAACTGGTACAGGTGCAGGTAGAAAGTCCAAAAAGAAAAGCATCCTTTAGAATAATACTGTATTGTGACAACAAAGGAAACTAGTCAAAAGTAAATGTACAAACATCCATGAGTTTAAATATCCATTTCAAAGCACGTTATATAAGAAATGCACGAGGAAAAGTTGGTAAGCCAAAACAGTAATATGCCGTAAAATGCTAGACTCTGCCCTCCCTAGTTCAACCGAGTTGCTTTGCTTAGCCTAGAATATTCTCAAAATTTAAATATTAAGAAAAAATGAGAGTTGCTTTGCTTTGCCTAGAATATACTACGGTATCAGCATCCAGTTTTCGGTCACCTCACTCACTTTTGGCTAAATCCTCAGCAGAAAACATGAAAATTGCTGGTTGGTGAAGGCGTTGACACATCCTTAAAAGTCGGGGTATGCAGAAAAGAAGTGGAAGCTCTCTCACTAAATGAGAAAATCAAAACTTGTGGCTGGCAGGATTTCTATCTAAGATTCAGGCAAGATATCCAACAGGAAGGCTCAAAACCAGGAGTAAAAACCGTGTAACCTTAAGCCTCTTAAAGTTTCATATTGTTGAATGAAACAAGTAAAACCTTTTTTTCTATATAGGTAAGGATGAAACCAGCAAAAACCTAATACAAGCACATAAGTCGCAAGAAGTGTACCAGTAAATCCACCCAAGCACTAGCACCAACAAGCACAGAGAAACCCAGAAGAACCTGCAACAAGGGGGAAGAAGTGTGATTAAGTTATCCGCCACAAGTACACATATCAAACTTCACTACAAGTGGATTGCCACTTCAAGAAACAAGTAAAAGATTGTGACCGTCGTTTAAATATTAGTATCCTAGATTCCTTATTCTATTCTAATTCAACAATTAAGTGTTTCTATAAGCATGTCACTAATAGTCACTAAGTTTAGCAGTCCTCTCAAGAAAGAACATCATTGTCTCTCAAATATCTGAGTGCTTTGAGACACTAATGGTTGAGCTATATCTAAGGGATACGTTTTTGGATTTCTCCGTGTTTTTCTTGTGCAAGACTATGTTGACAAAGAACTCCATACTATGTCCTAGAGAGGGTTTCAAGCCAGTTAGATCCTATACACAAAAAACATGGAAAGACTACATGAAAATTGCTCTGGAAATAGCCCCTTCAGTCACATAATAATGACAGCCAATGAGTTGAGCATGTCAATATCGATTTTCAAAATCAACATACTGCGATGTTTACCATCTTGACTGCAAAATACCACCTAAGATTGCATATGCTACACCCACAACTAAATGAATAAGGGGCCTACCATCCCAAATCCAAGCCCATTTGAATAGGAATGAAGGGGAAAAATATTTTGGTAATGGATCTGCTGTAACCATTTGGGTTTGACAGCTCACATTTAGCAACTACAATATATTTTACCGCAATTGCAACCTATTAAGTCTTCTTTAAAAACATAGTTTATAAATTCCTGATTTGCCAAGTTGATACTAATACCTTTAAAGGTAAATTCCAGGTAGTTTAATGGATCTGCTGTAACCCTTCGGGTTTGACAGCTCACATTTAGCAACTACAAAATATTTTACCCCAATTGCAACCTATTAAGTCTTCTTTAAAAACTATAAATTCCAGGTAGTTTAATGGATCTGCTGTAACCCTTCGGGTTTGACAGCTCACATTTAGCAACTACAAAATATTTTACCCCAATTGCAACCTATTAAGTCTTCTTTAAAAACTATAAATTCCAGGTAGTTTAACTCATTCTCCCAAGTAACCAGAAGTAGAGATTAGGTACTTAGACGAGTAAAAAGCCACAACTTATAAGGATTGCTCATATTAACAGGTAGACATGACTGCAACAGTGCAACCATCTAATTGGTGGTCCTTTAAACTATCAACTTACAACACTCGTGTAACATATTCCTTTGCCCTGCATATTTTCTTTGAGAGTTAACCATTAACCATTAATCTTTATAATTTTAGCATTTGTCCTGATTAGTTGTCACACCTGCTATCAAACTTAAATTGTTTTCCCAAGTTTTATGCCAGTCCACTGTTATATTGTGAAAGCCATCCTCAAGTCCAAAATCCACTGCTGTCATGGAAACATACGGCTGAAAAGATATCTAGCAGATTTTGTCTTTTGAACAGAGTACTGTCTCCAAATAAATGATTATCTCCCTGTAATTCACATCAGAAGCCTACCTGACCATGCCAACATAAGTAGACCATGCAACACACATCCTTTGTGCCAAAATGCACAAGTCCTTTGAATCAGAAAGAGAATAGGTGGTTTCCCTTGTTTATACGTTCATTTTCATCTGTAAAATGCATTGAGCCAAATCCTTCCTAGCACATAGAAACAAGGAAAACCAAATCCACTAGGCATGAGCTTTGGAGTGTAGCTCTTTCACGTAAAATGTAGGATTAAAAAAAAGAAGTGAGTTCTGCGATGTGACTGGTTGCAGCATGTACATTTAGAGAGGCTTTAGCAGCTTAGCTCCACTGAGGAAACATCTGGAGTAAGTGCAGCCTACTTAAGGATTGCATTAACGAAATGGCAAATTGCTAATGTCATACCTAGCAGAAGAAACACAAAGGTTCTACCGGACAAACCACATGTGAAGCAACTCCCGCAGTTAAAAGCTGAAGACTTGTGAAAGCAAAATATGATGGATGAAGTAATAGACACTAACCCATGGCAGGTAAGCTGCTGTGAAAGTAAAGAGACCCAAAAAGCTCATGTGGATAAACGGATTTTGCTTGCTCCATACATATACCTACAAACAGGAAGAAGCAAAAAGATGAAAAAGGAAAAGGTAAGACAGACCACAAATGCTGAGTCAGAAATGGAGTTCTACTGCAGAGGATCTAACCATCATAAATGTCAGTGAATTGCTCAGGAATATGATCTTTGCAAAGGACTCTGAGACATAAGGTATCATCCCCCCAACAAGAACAATTCCTGTTAAAACAGTGGCACCAAACAGAAGCATGTAGAAGAAATCTGCTGTCCTTCCCCTGAAGGAGTTCTCTTCTAAAAGCTTGCAGTACCGAGCTAGGAAAAACATGTGAAACAGAAAGTCCAAGTCTGAAAACACAATAAAGAAAAAGGACATCAGAATAAGTTTGAGAAGGAGCGAGAATATATTTTCCCATGTTGCTATGTTCCTCAAAACAAGTGACCCTGCCTTCATCTTGTAATCTCCGATGCACCACAAATAAAATAGATAATTGAAAGAGAACGTGTACAAAGGATTAGCAGGAAATTCACTGACTGCACTAGATAGGAGGCAAGGATAAGCCTAGTTTCCATTATGGATTAAATCTAGCTAAACCCAGTATTTAGCCACGATAGTTATTGAACAATAGATTCAAGCCATTAAAGGCTTAATAGATCCATGGCTGCTCACATAAAGTTGTGCCTCATTAAGACAAAGTAATTTCACTAAGCTTAAATGAGGAAATAATCTTTTGGGAAATAAAAAGCAAGCTGCTGGGAGGGGAGAAATTACCCATCTTCCGGAAGTAGAGAAAATTTGTAATGAGGCGCCAGACCTGGTATTGCTTCACCACCAACTTGGGGTTCAGGTACAAGTTATAAGGAGATATAATCTGCATTTACACCCAAAATATTATCAATTAATCATGAATCAACTAAGCTCTCAGTCCTAAACTAGTTAGAGTCAGATTCATGAAAAGCACAAAAGTCAATGAAATATGCCACAATACCAAATTAATTGGTGGCAGCTATATAAATCATCTGTATCCATTTCTACCCTATTTCAGCATCCCAAATTACAACCCCCCCACCCCAAATATCAT